CCACGTCAATTTGTTAATATTTTGATCCAAATAAGACAAAAGACTACCATTGTTAGCATATTGCATAACAATCATGTTTCTGGGTCTTGTATCACTCCATAAATTTTAAGGAATGAATAACCACTCGTTGCGCACTTGGCATGATTTCTGAACTATTAAATAATAATAAATACAGTGTCAAATTAAATGTCACTTTAATTAATACTACAACGCATTTTCTTATTTGCATTAACCTCATTGTATACTTATTTATGTCTCGCAAAAGTTCTTTATTATAATCGAGCAGTGATAAGACTTTAATCTCATTTATAACGCGGCAGTTATTTTTCTTCCTCGTGATCACAGATATTACTATCAGTTTGGACCGTTACCTTTGGTCAATGCCAGGGACGTATTACTTACTCTCTGGCCAGCTCTGTGTTCAATAATTTTTTCTAATCATATAGTCTTGCATTCCGGTATGACATAAATATAAATCGATTCGATCGGATTTTTCAGTAATGTAAAAGTCTGGGATGCGCTCTTTTACCAAGGCTTTCTGGGAGCTTATTAATAATGTTTCTAGTCAGACAACCCATTTTTTTTTATTATAGCACGCAAAATTACATCTCGTAGACATATATCTCAAATCATGTGCACGTGACAATTTGTCACGCAGATCGCCTTTGCCAAGAAAAAATTTTATGTGAGCATCAACGTCGAAAATTCAACTAAACAAAGGGCGATCTAACGTACATATACCGTATAGTTCCGAAAATAAGCACCTCCCCAAAATGTTTGCACCTACCCAAAATGTTTGCACCTACCCAAAATGTTTGCACCTACTTCTAAATGTTTCTATAGTATGTAACTATTTATATTTAACCTGCAGACCTGTGATTTGTATTACACAGCGACTGTCACGATTGTTTCCGTAAACAAGAACAATAATATCTAAGAACAATAGTATCTAAGAACAATAGTATCTAAGAACAATAGTATCATTGTACCATTTTGGAGCACACGCGATATGATGTAATAATTTGTTACACTAGGCAATATATCGATACTCGCTTATGCTTTACTATTGGTTGACAGTGATTATTGTCACCCTCCTTACCGTATAATATAAGCGAACACGCGTCTCCTCATATATATATATATATACCCAAATGCTGCACATGTATCGCTTCACAATAACTTCCCCTCTCCTCCTCCAAACTCCAAAGCGCAAATAAAACGTCACTTAAGTATACAACGAACAAACGTTTACCGCCACTGCATATTTTGCACATACAACAGTGCGCTACACCTCACGAACAAGTCCTATAACGAACAGTTAAACACGCGTCTACTCAGAGCGCTTCTCTCCACAAAGCACAAATACAAACGTCACTTAATATACAACGAACAAACGTTTGTCGCCACACAAGAATCAAAGCCTATATATAAGGTGAGAAATTTCACTAAGTATTCGTAGAGTGGTCATGTAATGTTCCGAAGTTTACGCTGCCACTAGGCGTAAAAAGTCGGGGGGATCGAAAGGCTTGCAAAGCCGCGAATTAAGTGTCCTCAAGTGTGTGTATCCAAAGTTACGCTGCCACTAGGTGTAAAACCCGGAGGCTTCGAAAGCACATATTGGTGCAACATATTCGAACTCCGTTTCCGAAAAGCCGTCCGAGTGCTGCAGCCCGGGTTGTGGTGAATAGGTGCACGTAATAGCACTTGGGGGCCCTAATATCGTAGCTGGCTGGCTGTGAAGTTCGATCTTTTCGTTGCCGAAAGCCGTCTGATAGATGTGATTTCCGGGTTGTGGTGAATAGGATCATTGGCCAAATGAATTGAAAGCGCATCGTGGCCACAGCTTGCGAAAGTTACCAGTCAGGTATCCAGCCCTGGCGTACGGTGGACGGCCTGCTGTGAACGTTCTTCTTTTGGTTTTGACTATAGTGACACGAGTACTTATTTTTTATTCGTTTTATTATTGGAAACATAGAGGAGATGATGACGATAATGAGGGTTTAGCAATACAGTCGATTCTCGAACGTAACAAACCTTTGTTGCCACTCCATACGACAGTTTGCTACAACTTACGAACAAGTTTTCAAGCAACGACACGTTTTATCGACCACATAACCGATAAAAAAGTTCGAACGTGCATCTACTATATATACACTACTCTCCATTGCACGTGTATTGCTTCACAAAGTTTTTCTATTTAAAGTTTAATATACAACTCACAAACAAGTTCTCAAAAAACGAACCATTAACACTCAACAAAGCAAACATTTCGCACATTAACGTACACAAATCCTCATTATTAATGTGTACCGCATCGAATGGAATAATAATGCAATAAAGAAGTTCAAAGAAAGTTTGTTTTGTACGTGCGTTTATTAACTTATTCGGGTATTCGACGACTCTTCAGCAAACAGGTATGTTCTTGTCTTCAGTAAAATAAATAATCGCGTCATACAATAACTAATTAATTATTATAATTTCGATTATACCACTTAGAAGTTACATACGAGTCACACGAATAGCCCAAAAGCAAAGCAAACTTAACGATCCAAATACCCCCGAAACCTTCCTCTATTTCAAAAAGGTTTCCGACACTTATCTCGATTTTCACACTACTTTGACATCGATGTACGCCAAGTCTACTCGGCATATTTCAACGCAACGCCAATAACCAAGCAATACTGACAAAGCGGTTTGAACATCATGTTGATAGACGAAATGGAGATACAAGCCACGGATAATGGCCCAAATACTCGACACATGTCGACCGGGTTGGAGATAGATAAATAGACAAATGGTGGATGGTAATCGTTAACTAAAAAACTATTGCTTTTGAACCAGTTTACTAGGTAGCTGCTCTCTTTTGTCTCTACTGGCGGACGGGCACGGTTCTGGATCAGATAGCGGGTAGTCACCGGTGACGCACCTCTACTCGTTCATTGTCCCCAGTGCTCAGGATCCTGGCATGGGTCTGATAAATGGGTCACGGGGGATGCCCGGAACATTCTGAAGACATCTCTTTTTTTTTTACACAGCTTTAGATGACGGGTAGAAGGTTTTGGGTAAGTATAAGGTAAGTATCGCATTGTTTCACGTTATAAACTAACTTTACTGACGGGTTTACCGAGATCACCAGATCCAATGGGACACTTGGGGAGGTGGGACTGATTCGGTGATTACTTAGCTATTTGTGAAGGATTTGTCCCTGAAGCTGGTTAGAGGTGAAAGGTGAGTTTGCTACTTGGCATACTGGTTTGAAAGCAATAGTTATTAGATTATTTATTAATATATGTAACATATGTATTATAAGTACTTCATGTAATATTAACATTATCTCAATAATAGTTAGTAATAATACATTTATAATATTAATTAATGAAACAAAAATTTTAATAAGCAAGAAAGAACAAAAAAAGAATACACGTAAGAAAAGAAAAAAGCGAAAGACAAAAAAAGTTGAAAGTATTATCGCTTTACAGACATAATCGCAATGTAATACAGATATGTAATAATAAAATGACTTGTAATTAAATTCAACTTGCACTTAAAACCGTATTGAATTTAGCAGTCTCTTGTTCGTTAAGGGCTAAGCACGACGGTATCTCTAGACACTCTTTATTTCATATCAGATTTTACGCAGTCGCTGTAACAGTTGTTCCATATAGCAAATCGATGGAATAGTGCTCATAAATTGAGTTTGATATTGCCAATCAATATATAGCACTTCATAAGTAATATTAACGAGCTTGTTAAAGAGCTTGACAAGGACAATTCTGATGACAGCACGTGGAATGCCGTTTATCATAATGATGTAAAACCCTTATCACTCGAGAAGGAGAGTAAATATTCTAGTGCGCTCTTACCTACTGGAGATCTGCCTAAACCAAGAAATAATTCTCATCAGTTACCTTCCTTATTATTATCAGATATCAGTTTGCCAAGTTTAGAGGTAAAGTTAAGGGGGAGATCGACAGGGAGTGAGGGAGGCAGTTTGAATTTCTGTTCATGTAAACTCTTTGAATAAACTTGTAATTCATGGGTTTACTCCTCTTCCAATTAAATAAATTAAATACTGTTTCCATGTATGTTGATATGGTTGAATTGGAAATAAAATCGTGCATGTTTACCTTTGCCGGGGTAGATCAAATGAATATGTAAGACAATATAGAATACATTATTTATTAAAGTAATTAGAGTGGCCGCCCGATTTCATCTCATCGGTCGGCCTTTAGCATTTTTATCGTTGGATAATTTAATCTTTGAATGCATTTCATGACTACTAGTGCGGAGATAAACTCGATCAGATGATAGGCTTTTTAGGTCTACCTTGTTGATTTCCAGACTGTTTTTAAGCTCACCACTGGAATGCATCTGATATGTGGATTGTATGGAATGTACTGAGATGATCTTACGAGATACACGTTAAGGTTAGAACCATTGGCAGTACAGCATTTATTTATTTACTTGTAACATCGACAGGACTTTTTCCGGTTAATAGTCCGTTTCAAATCTAGATAGAGTTTCGACAATTTCGATAGACAACGGAATGTTGTCGATTTGTAACAATTGTACATTCAGATAATATTATCGGAATTCTTCATCATAAGTCTGCCATCTCAGTTTTTTCCTTCTGCTCATATCTGACAGAAAGAGAATTCCATGTGAAGTTAATTAGAAGTTTGAGCAGCATAATGTGTCAAAAAAATAAATATTGACAGTGATATATTAAAGTTTTCTACTCCAACCGTCTCATTCGAGCTTCTGATTGACCTCTTCGAGTTCTCGAATGGTTTGAAGTGTTTTCCACACGCTAGGGACGATCAAAAATAGACTAACACCGATAATAGCTATAAGGACGATAACCAACTTAATCGCCACATATGGAATGCCATATGTTAAAGTTTCAAGTACTGCAAATGGAGCAAGGGATGTATCAGGGTTCATGATCAAAAGTATAATCGTGAGAAAGTATATTTGTATGAAATCAATTTACCTATATTGTATTTTATTGCCTGTGATTCTCGCCCTGGGACTATTGATACTCCGGCATAGATTGCTCTCACACGAAGAACTCGTCTCGTCGTGTTAACTTTTGCATCTTTATGCTGGTTGTTAATTACAGCGTAATTAGTTGGTTATGGAGAATATAATTTAGCCTCATAGTACGCATCCATATTTACATCTGCTAGTTCTTCCAGTACGCCTCGTTCTTTTAGGATGGTTGCTGTCTCTTCCATGCCTAATATCTCCATAACAAACTCTGTTGGAGACTACGGAAATTGTTAGCAGTTTATACTAGACGCCAATAAATAAAGCCAAGCATATGTAACGTACAGATGCAGCATACGAGACCCTAGCTTCATATGTATGCCCTTGCTCTAATTCGTCAAGTATGTACCATCGCTCCTTATCCTCAGATTGCGAAAATGAGGATATCGCTGCATCCGGGAAAGGGACTATGATCTCATAACGTTGTATTGCATATGGCGGTCGGAGAGTCTTTCTTTGTTTGGTATAGAAACTTAATATCAACAATCGTATTGCTAACTAAATCATTTCACACGATGCTGTAAATCAAGAAACTTATTACTTGCCACTAGAGCGTGCTTTTTGGCCCATTCCTCAATTCCATCAATAATATTAACCGGCACAACATCATAAGTTGATGACAGTATTTCTTTTTCTATATTCGCTTCAACGACGCTCAATAAGAGAGCAACTATAATAGTAATAGTTAAAGTTAAGAAATAAGAAAATCTAGACATTGATTTCAACCCCGAAGTTTAGCACCACCCTATTAATTAGTAGGTGACACGAACGAGCGAAGTGATACAATCCTTGACTGTTGTAGAGGAGCTGGATTTTGCGTTATATCCTTTTATTGTCTCTAAAAGCCGAAACGAACAGACGATAATTTTCTTCATTAAAATTTATTCCTTTTGCTCAATCAAAGGCGTCGAGTTAGTTGGAACGGACAGAATAAGTATATTTCCTTCCGATAATAGATTTTAGTCAAACATCCTAATTACCAACCGAACATCTGTCTCGGCGAATTATATTATCGATCGCGTTAGTTGTTGATTACGTGCTTGATGTTTAAGGTTTAATAAAATATAGGAGAAATCTGAACTCCATCAATATGGTTTGCTAAGAAGCGCTGAAAATAACTTTTGAATTGTATCAAACTGAGATGTTAAACCGCGAACGTTATTGAAGTAAGTATTTCTGAAGCAAAAGGTAAAGGTAATGATGTTGTTTTCGACAGAAGTATAGCAGAGATATTTACGTATTAACATAGGAATTAGTTTATCACGCATTCAATATTGGCAATGAGTTTATTCGACATCGAACATTGTTAATACAGTATAAAAAGTGTTACCGCCCACACTTGCATAAAAGAGGTTACTCGGCTATCTACCTAACCGTCGCTGAGAAACCTCTTAGTATTAATAACGTTATATTGGGGCAGTGACAGATATATCTCAGCTGGAAACTGTTAGACAAGCAAAACTCTTCTGTCCTAGTTAAGAACCAACAGGACCAAGCTTTATCATTAATTAACAATGCAAGTTTAGAAGTTTAGTGGTTTTATATGTAATGCCAGCTACAATGATGCAGTATTATTTTGACAATCTTAAATCTTTCGTTACTTGCTTCTATTCAGTACATTCATGTAACTACTCAAAGATGTTAGTAAACTAACCAAGCCTTTGCTGAGCTACGGTTTTATGTTAGAATTTAAATCAACTTTGTTTATTGCATTCCATACTCCCTTGTTGTCTGGATGCTCTTCATTATTGCTTGTAGACCATGCAGCAAATACCAGCAGATAGTACCGTAATAGCAAAAGTTATACAACTGAAGAAAGTAGGCATTATTCTTTTTATAGCGAGTCATCAGATGCAACTTCAATAATAATAATTTCTAACAACTTTTAAAGAATACTCAGAGCAACAGAATAAATATGTCTTGGATGTCAACACGAAAATAGCTGGTGAGGCAGGTTGGAAGAATCAAAGAAGGAAATTTCACGATTACCAATTTTAAAAAAAGGACAGCCAGCGGAGAGCGAAAGGTCAATACCTCCCGAGATCACTTTTCCAGTTAGTGGTCTCGCTTCACATAATTCACGCCATTCTCTCGAGTCCAAGTAGGTAATCGCGTTGATGTTACACTTTTTTTTGGCCTGTAATTATTGGTGTTCAAAAATCATCTACCAGACTTTGACCTACGATTCGGGAATGTTTACACCCGCAGCAAAAAGTAACGAGAGCGAACAGTCTTCAAACCTAGATCTCCTAAGAGAGCGAATAAAAAGTGCGGATAATTGAATTATCGCTTTTAATAACAGTGTGTATTCTTATCGTGCTCATATATCGATATACAGCATTACTTGAGCAGAATTCACTTTCAGACGTATCTTCAGTTTCAGTAGTATCGTTTGTTGGTTTCTCACAAAATGGAAGTACAACAAACGTGGCGTCAATAGCGAACACTATCATCGAAAAGAATGTCTTTGAACAGGTGAGAACAGAAAATTAATGATTTGATACCATCGCTATATAAATACTAAGATTCTGTCATCTTTATTAATCAGTCAGATAATTACGAGCTAAAGAATGATCACCGACAGGAAAAAGCGACTTTGCTTATTTCGAATAAAAACAATGTAAAGTCTCACTTGTAAAAGAACACAAAGCAATCTAATCAACTTTAGTAACGATATGCTTTTCTGTAGTATGGACTATGGATGTACTGCGACAAGACAAAGAACATTGTATATTTACTGCTTGACTCGATGCATGGGTGGGAAACCCTACTAATGCTATGGGATAAGGATTGCAATCTTGCCGACAATACGGTAAGAGAGGAATGGACTTTCGACTTTTGTATTCACAACGTTGGCCAGAAAAGTTAAATGCGAAAGATACAATGTACATGCAATCCTATATGAATTAGGATGGATTTCAAGAATGGATGTGGAATCAAGAACATTTCTACCTACGATTACTCTTTTTTACATTCATCGTCTCACATACAATTCTAGTACGTCTTATATTGAATATTTTCTTTTAACCTGTAAAGCGAGAACGTTAGTTAACATAATTGTTGCCAATCAATAATAGCTGACACTTCCAGTCTCAAAGCTTGATGGAAATCTCGTATCCCTCTTACGCACAGTTGCATCTCTGAAGCGTTATATACTCACTCAAACGTCGGCATACGTGAACCTATGTTGGCAAAGTTTAGGCATTCCGTCACCGTATGGCACATCCGTCCCAGGATACAGTGGCAGAGGAGGTGGTCAGCAGGGCGGTGTGATGGCACCTGGAAGATGTGTTCCCTTTGTATTATTTTTGTTTCATGAGGTCGTCATATAAATTCGGTTTGTCATTCAGCGGAGGGTAACGTTTGGTCCAAGGCTTGCTGAATCTGTGTCGTCTTGTTTGGTTTTTCACGATTAGGTACAATTGCCTTCTTCAGTTAATGGAGATGGGACAAAAGCAGATATTGGACATGAAAAGGTAACAATAAGCGACTAAAGCAAGAGTATCAGATGAAAGTTAACAGAATTAAATATATTTGGTTGGTCCTTTTTAGGCAGCTTCCGGAAGTATTAAACGGATGAAAGAATCGCTACAAGCTCGCATTCGTTTCCTGTTCCGTACTTGTTATTTGGTACAAACGAATGATGTTCATGCACCGTTCGATGGGTAATTTATTTAATCTTATAAGTGGTTATTGTCTAACGTACAAATCGGGAGACTGCTTAACCGTCTTGAACGTTTTAATAAAGGTTTTCTTATATCTCAATTGTAGCCGCTTCCTGTTCACCCTTCCGCCGCCTTCAGCTCAATTTTTCGTTCACTTGATTACACGCGGATCGATTGGAAATCAGCTTGCGGCTGACCAACCCGCCGCTACTGTATTATCGAAAACACTGTCAGCAGCAGACAATAATACCAGCAGCAGCGGCAGTAGCAGCAACGGTAAAGTGGATTTAGAATCATTGCTGCGAAGGCGACGACAAGATTTTCGGAATATCGATAACTTTGAGATTAAACTGCTAAGAGAATTTGCGTCTGGATGGATTAAGTGGTTGGCAACAGGGTTTCCAAGAAGTTTTGCCAAGAGGAATTTAACGGCTCTGGAGGTTTGTCGTTAATAAAAAATACGAATGATCCAGCAGTTTATGTTTCCACAAGCGTCTTTACGATGGGTGTGATTGTTCCTTAGCTGCCAACTGGAAGTCAATGGATGTCTGGCGCAGTTGCGTTGCAAGAATTGTTGTTCGGACAGCTTGCCAAAGAGATAATGGACCGGAGGAGTTACAGCGCTGTGGATGATGCATTCGGAAGACGTCTAAAGGACTGCGTACAAGTGAACAATCGTTTTTCAGCGAGGTAATCAACACGCAATATTTTAATGGCCTTTGAATTATGCCAAAGAATGATGTCACTGATGTGCTTTATGTTCACTTAATCAAGCCATTGTGCACAGGTCTTGAGAAAAGCCGTTGATTTCTATTCATCTGACTTACCCGCACATTATACGCGAGAATCTCATGAACACAAAGTACGTATTTCTTTCCTTTTACTTACCTATTTATTTATAACTAAACCGCATCGGATTAACTATTGTTGATTGCGCAATAGTTTGATCGCGCATTACAATATTACATGACTTTCGCACGTGGGCCCTGCACCGAAGATTACGCGCAAAAGTTGCAAGTTGAGTGCCAGAATATCTGGCAAAGTAGATCTAGAAATTCTGAACAATCGGACTATTTATAAAAAGTTCCTTGTTAAAGAGTGTAAGGTAATGAAATCGTGATACAGTGAGTGGCACACGCAAATGTCAAATAATGGCCATCAACCTTTCAAAAATGTCTAACGATTTCAATATTTCTCTAGGAGAGCTTCTCATGGAAATTCAAACGCTCTTCCTAACGATGACGAGTTCTGGTTAGTTGCGATAAAAGCAACGGACACTCTCCCGTTGGCGAAGACCAGAAGCGTGCTAACGGATATAGGGCTCGTTCGTGTGATACAAACATATTGTGTAACAGCAATATCCCATAAGGCACAAACAGTAATAAAAAAGAAATGAAATTTGTTTAATAAAAACCATCTTTTAACACTTCAAAGACATGATCTATAGTATATGTAGAGCTTATGAGCTCCATAATCATATATGAATATACAAATGTCTCTGATTGACTGGCTGGTTATAATAGGCCTCTTGCTCGTCTTCTCACGAGAATAGAGGTCACCGAACTAACCGACAAATCTAAATCAATCAGTACACGTAATTCCCCAATTACTCCGTTTCTAGAGAAGAAACAATTTGTTTGTTTAGACTTAATGGGACGTATTCGTTAATACAAGATACTGGCAGACGAGGGCATTAATGTCAGATTGGTGTGATTCTCGTTAATATTAATTGTTGAAATTGGGATTTACTCTTTATTATTATGCAGAACAAAGAAATGATAGGGGAAAAAAATCAAGTACCACAAGTCAAAATAAGAAATTGAAAATGTCAAGTTGCAGAACTACAAGAGCTATTTTGGCACGAAACTCAGTTGGCTATGAGCTTGAAATAATTTCTATCATCCATAGCTGCTCGACATTTCTGATCGGATAGTGTGTTTCTGTTTGATAGAAATCGCAGGATGCGTGTTAAAATAAATATGCGACGTATGAACATACTAGTTTAACAAAAGTAAACGTTGATGTTGCTCCCAGTGAATAAGTGGGCCGAATTGTGTGAAATGTCTCAAAATCAGAACAAAATCTCCTTTAAATGGGGAACAAGCGGCGGCATTAGCATCATAAAAGTTGCCCTTGTCGGGAATACTTGAAATCGTTTGCGGCGCGTTCACGGATAATGCAAAAGAATGCACATTTCTCACACATCCAATACTTTATTGTTTTTCAATCGCTACTATAGTATAGCTGTTCCTTCCAACGCGAAATAATAAAAGCCTCTCGTCTATCAAGTCATCCCGACTAATTACGTACGTAGGCTGTATCATACGATTCTTGTTTAAATACAGCCCGCGTGCCTTTATCATCTTGTTAGCTTCACTTCTTGTTCCGCAAGCTCCCGATAAGGTAGCAACTTTGTCGATAGTATTGTCTATGACATCCGATTCTGGTAGAAATTTTAATCGCGTGTCGTTTCTAAATGCATGAATGAGATCTTTTGCTTTTATCTCATTCAAATCAGAAGTGCCAAACAGCAGCGATGTGGCAAGTTGAGCACGCTTTAAAGCCTCTTCTAAAAATAATGAAATGCGTATACGAGTGATGTGCCATCACTGTGAGCAAAATGGGATAGTGTAAGAAACAACAGCGCTCGTCTGTTGAACTAATAATATCTTACCGCCATGCACCAGTTCTGTGATTTCAGAAGCCAATTTCTCCTGGGCAATATACTTTCCCGGTGTTTTTTCATGCAACTCCATTACGTTGTCTATCTCCTCGATATCTAGCAATGTGAGCATTTTGAGATGTTTTCCTACATCACTATCAGGCATCCTTATAAAAAACTGTTCATGGAAAGTTCATATAAGTAGACAAGTCTACTACTACCCACTGATTGACCATCGTAACCACAAACTAAAAATCAACAGACCTGGTAAAAGTCATAAGAACTTGTCATATCCTCTCGCAACCAAACCGGATTTCCTGCTGACTTGCCAAACTTTTCACCACGCGAGTTCACTAGCAACGGTAAAGTTATTCCACAAGCTTCTTTATTTTCCTCGACTAGACTCTCATCCTTTGCAGCCTTCTTCTTCTGAATGAGATCAATGCCTGCAGTAATGTTTCCCCATTGATCACTGCCTCCCAACTACAAACGAGTTTTACTTCTTTTAAGTTTTTAGGTTGTACACAGCAATTAGAAGAAGCTATCCGGTCTTACTTGGATCTGACAATTGTAGGTATTATAAAGATGCCAAAAGTCGTACGCTTGTAATAGTTGGTACGAAAATTCAGTAAAGCTGATGCCTTGGTCAGTCTTCCTGCGTATGCGCGACCTCACACTCATTATGATAAAGACGTTTTGTGTCAATATTCGCATCGATACACATTGTAATCGCATTTTTTCTGTATCTTTCTTCTCTTTCCCCCCCCCAAACTAACCTATCTTTCGCTAACATTGAACTCACGCGAACGTATCTCCCAACATCACTCAAAAGTTCGATTGCTGTCATTTTCCCTATCCAGTCGATATTGTTAATAATCACAACTTCCTTCTCAGAATCCAATCCAACATTCACACCGCGCCGAGTAGCATATGCTACTCCATTATGAAAAAATTTCCGGACTTGTGTTTCGATGTGAGTTACATTCTCTCTAATAGTATCAGACGAGAGAGGCTGCCGTTCTGTACTGTGACCGGATGGATCACCGATTGATCCTGTTGCTCCACCAAGCTGGATAAAAATTGGAATTAGCGCCATGTCTGCATAGCATCATTGCGTAATTGATAGAGTTTGTTGTTCGACTTACTAGCACTATGGCCTTATGCCCACGCACGTGAAAATGAAGCAAGCCAAAGAGTGGCAGAATGTTACCTATATGTAAGCTTGGTGCTGTTGGATCGATCCCACAGTAAACTGTTGTTGCGTTGGATACGATGTTGCGGATCGATTCGCTTTCCAATTAACAGTCAGGATTGAAAGTAATGTTGGCTGAAAAAAAAATATGTAAAAGAAAACTTTGACGAGTTACCTTGTCACTGTATTCAATAATTCTCTATTCTCTAACTCATCGATTACATTCGTTTCGTTCTTGTTACTCTGATGTTTGATTATAGGCGAATTTATGGTTGACGTTGTTGTTGTAAAAAATCTATGCCTATATATTGCATATCTTTGTCCGGTGGTTATTAGCTTGAATAGTGAAACCCTCTTGGAAAACATCAATGATTCTAAAGTTTTCTTTTTTTTTTTTTAATTAAGTTTTTTATTTTTATCCATCAGTTTCCCTGTTCACATGCTTATTTGACCATTGGGTAGTACGATAACGGTCAAAACAAACGTGGTAGTCCATCAGTTGTACAAATTAATTTAAAATTATAATATCCAGGTAAACTCTTCTTGAAAGTGGTATTAGTCACATGTTAAAAGATGAGAAGTTTTATTCATTCAAAAAAAAACCAAAACTTTGCTTTTTAGAAATGTACAAATTTTTGTAAATAACCCGGAAAAAAATTTTTTTTCTTTTCTATGTGCTTCTTACGCCGTTTTGCAAAGCGTGCGATGCATATCGATTTTGGACTAAATCTTGATTATATAAGGGAAGGCTTTTTTATTTTGTGCTCCCTAGAAGATATCTTACAAGATTAATCATTTATGCCTTATGCGAAATAAATCTTATTCCACCAATCACATAATAAATAGAATAAATAATAGCGGATAATGAGAGTATAATAATAATAAATATACTAGAACACTTTACTCCAAAATTTCATCTCAAATTATTCATTATGGGGTATTCAATTTTCTTTTTACTTGTTTTACAGTACCTGTCAGAATCCGTTTGTCTTTTGGGAAGCATCAACACTAGATACTTCGAATCTGCCCCTCTTAGTAGCACCCGGGATAGAAACTTGTTCTGTCGTTGACTTGGAAACATCAGATTGTAGCACAGGTACAGGCGGAGGAGGGGTCAATACTACAGAGACCAAAGACGAGGGATCTTCTGTATCGGCTGGATGTGCGGTTATTTCGAATCTGGATTTCCTGTTCAATTCTACAATATAGATTGTGCAAAAAGAAGATTGTTAGAATCTCTAGTGACCAGCCAACAAATCATCAAAACAAGTTATCAACATATTGGATAGCACATACCTTCAAGATTCTCCTTTTCGCGCATTTTCGATTCACTCATTTGAGAATCATCTTCCTCTATTGACACATTAGAAACAGTTTTGTCTCTCGTACATGGCTTAAAGGTAAATCTTCCTTTAACCTGCTCTGATGCTTCCTCGTCTTGTGTCGCGCTGCTAATTTCTTGGACACTAGCAAATCCACTTAAATTCGGATGCGATTGAGACAGTGCAGATTGCATAACGACCGACGACGCATCAGATGATCTATTAGGGAGTGACGAAGAGAGCACAGACCCGGGCTCAGATCCGACTACTGAGAACCTAGATACTGTCCTTCGACCAATATCAGTTCCCAATGCCTCTTCGGACGATTTGGTGTTGGGACGAATGGGATCGACAAATGACACTCGTTTGACTGTTGGAGGAGAATGTGATACGGAATCTTTTTGGGACGAATTTTCAAGAGAATGATCTTTTTCGCCTTCTGAGAAATCAAACTCCCAAGATATTGATTTTGTTATCATAATTGGTTTCTGTTGAACTCCTGATAACGCAAAAAGAAATAATATAATTAGTTCAGTGAATTTGTTTGGCTACGATACCAAATACAAATGAAAGAAAGCATACTTTTGTGAGGTCGCTCTTGCAAAGGAGCAAGGTTAGCCAACAGCCTGCTGACAAGATACTCCCTTTTCTTTGCATGTTTAAAAAACGAAAATGTCAAAAGCTTCTCCGTGGACGGTCTGTATTTGGGTATCCATTATATTGCATTGAGAAAGTGGCTCTTGTGATATTAGAGAAACAAAACTCATAAGCACTGGGAAAATTTTCACCTTTTTGTCGGATCCTTCTGAAGACACGCATCAATCATTTCCTTCAGAGATCTATTGTATTTATGTTTTGTTGAATCTCTGTCTAGAGTTGGAGGATCGTTTGAGATTGTAAGCATGAGAACCTATGCAAGCGAGAAATGTTAAAAGGCTAGAGTATATCGATCTTTTCTCCGAAATCCACTAATGTAGCTTAATTTTTGTTGTTCACTCCGATACCAAGTTCAATAATTTCTCATCTTATATTAAAACCACAAACCTTCAATGGAGGATATTTTGAGAAAGGCGCATGGCCAGTGGCTAATTCGATGGCAGTAATACCGAATGACCAAATGTCAGCCTTGTAATCGTATCCTGCCTGCTCCATTACCTCTGGTGCCATCCAACATGGCGTTCCGACGAAAGTCTTGCGATATCCTCTGCGATCTCCATTTTCCATTAACGATGAAGATACGCCAAAATCCGCGAGAAGCACCGATCCATCGCTATCCATTAACAAGTTACCAGCCTTTACATCTCTACAAGAAAGCGAACAAGAGAAAATTGATAGCGTAAGATTACGTGTGAAATTGGGGGGAGGTGTGTTCTTTTCCCCTTTCTTTTTTTTTTTTTTTTTTTTTTTTTTTGCGAATATTTCTCATTAACCAAATAGAATACCTGTGGATATGACCGTTCTTATGCAGGTATGCCAATCCTTGTAGTGCTTGTTTTAGAATAGTAGCGATTACTGCTTCTTCCAATCCATCAGGATGCGCTGTTTTCATTATATCTAAGCAGGATCCTGCACAAGTACAATTTTTCTTAATTAGGATATACACTGACCAATTAAAAAAGGATAAAGCTGCTACGCAGATATTATCACCTACCAGCAGCCATGAATGGTGTGATAATGTATAACTTTGATTCATGAACAAACGCGCTGTGTACCCGTAATACGTTCTCATGTTTCGACAAGGACATAACCTGAGTCTCTCTCTGTTCAAGAAAAGTATGTCAATTAATACCATGTATGAGATAACTCGCATAATAAGCATCGGTTCAAATATGAAAAGGCTTTACGTACTCTTAGTTCGTCGATCTGATTTCTCTCAAAACGATCCAAATCAATAGTCTTTACAGCAACTTGTTTGTTCAGTGGTTTATATATAGCATTGTAGACGACAGCAGAAGAACCATATCCTAAATTGACGCAATAATTAGCAGGAATCCGATTTGATACCATTCGCGGCTGACAGTTGGTTCGCTCTTTTCGTGATAGCCCAATCCGTTACTTACCTATCGGAGCGAGTATATCATAGTCTTTAATGTTACTGGAGAAGACGGGTTCGTCAGAAGGGGTCGTCGGAAGTGGCGATCCAGAAAGGCCAACTGAGTTCCTCCTCGACGGATCTTGCGACCCCATTGCGAGGCAGTTGTAGTAAGAGAGACTCTAGTATTATCTATGTTATTGTATTTTGATTGAGAGAACTAAAAAAAGGAGCTTCGTTGTATGCTAAAGATGTAATATTTTAGAAAAGGTCTATCTGTCCTGGACGAAGGTTTTTGAAATGTTAAGGGTGGAATCATGTGATACCAGTTATTGGTTTAAACCCTTTAAGAACCTGGTATAGAATAATTAATAACAGCTAAATTCTACTAAAACTGGTGTACCCGTGTGATGGAAATGCTTAATATGAACAGTAGCCGCATCCACAACTGGATTGGTATTACATGGAATGACGGTATGTCCAACGCCAAAAGCAAATCAAGACGATAATGCAATGCTAACAATATAACTTGCGAAATTGTTACTCCTGTATTAGTATTGATGTGACATTTTTGCTTGAAGGTTTGTTTGTGTTTCTTTATACGATTGAACGCTAAGGATGATATGCCAACTTGGGCTGGGTTGGGAAGATTTCTAAAATTATATCTAAATACTTGTTCTTTAATAAGTATATCGGCGACGCCAAATAGATCGGTACCAAACCTATTTAAATCTACCGCGTGGCTTTTGGTAATTACTAACGTGTGCGTTGAGCGGCCGTCAGCCTTCGGTTCTCTCGACGAGGCCGAGGTTTTGCTCTAGTTCTCGAGTCCGTAATTCATTTAGCAAAAAAAAAACAAAAAAAAAGAGAATAATAATAATAATAAGGAACAGACAGATTTGCATTAAACATCGTTTTACATTTAAACATAACAGTTTACTGTATTATAATTTACGTGCTTTAATCTGGTCACTCTACAATATATGCAGTGTATGCAGTATCTTGCCCTTTTAATCCAATGCTGAATCCTTTTTGTTTGTTTTCGCAGGGTCATTCTTATAGCTATTTCTTTACTTAACGAGTTTCTCTATTGGGATCACTGTTTTGCGTGGGGTTCTTGCTAAACTTGACCTATTAATATTAAAAGAGTCGATATGACCGAGTTAATGATTTAGAAGCGGTTCTGAAAATGCGTCTGACTATTACAGTCAACCACTCTATATATGCACACTCTCTATATGAATTCCACCACTCCCGTGATTTTGTACAACTATCATATGAGAGCTTACACAAGCAGTTATGGAGAATAGTCCGGGAAGAAGGTCTTTTTTTTATATTATTTTTTTAATAATCTATTTGTTCTTATTGAAGATCCATATTGATGATAGTGAAATTGATAACAGCTAAACCATCTAGTCAATTGTCAACAATGCTAGAGTTAGTTCATTACTTTTAATGCTCTTGATTATTACAAGTTGATGAATGCAAAGAAAAAACAGCAATAGACAATTTTTTTAGCCAACAACAGATTTTATTTTTGTCTTTCATTATAACTATATCAATGTCACGTGTAACCAATAAGCATCCCTCTCTATATACTATATGACTGTACTATTACAGTATTACTATCTAAACGACAATGAAACCGCGAAAAAAGACCTTTCTGGTAGTATATGCAAGAATTAATGCCATCTGTACATCTCTACAGATTTATTTATAATCTAGTTAATGAAGATAAGCAATCAAAACTCATTACTGCATTGATTGTTCTGAGAGACGCAACTTGCGTTTTATAATATCTATGATAGTTGCAGAAAAGATAATCCACGCACACATGTTGCTTGATGGAAACCAAACCAAATTCCAGATGGATCATAGTTACGTGTGAAACCAAAAAGATAAAAATTAACTACAAAAAAAGCATGCGCGGAAAATGGTATAATGTTATAGAACGGCGAAGTGATTTAACATATTTTTTAGTAAACTCCTTTTTGGCCAACGAGATCTTTTCCTCCAATCCTTCTCAAACTTTTTCAACGCCAATTTAAAAACTTTTTCCTCTGTAAAGCGTTTTTGTACACCATATGCTTGCTGTAAGAGGGGGGCCAAGTCATGCGACGCACATAACTCGTAGTTGCGTGACCGAGTTTTACAGGACATCATTGCTTCAAGAGTCTTAAAGACAGAAGGTCCTTCCGATGTTGGAAAATCAAGAAGTCGTTCAATCTCATCTTCATTAAAATATATCTTTGAAAAGAAAAATTTAGCCATTGGATCTTTATGCAGGCGAGCTTGGGCTGATTCAGAATTGCCAAAAGTCATGAGATCGTTGATAAAGATTTTGATCTTGGTCAATAAGGTAGTATCCGCATGCAACATTTGTAGTTCATTTTTGTAGTTCATTGTCATTTTGCAGGTAGTGAAACTGCTCGAGAATTAGGAAAGCACACGTAGAATTGATTAAACGTAAAGCGATTGTTAACGCGTTAGCTAGAAGAAGTTCCCGAATCCAAATTAAAAAGGAAAAGCGTGAATTTATACCTTTAGAGCGATTATTCCACTTACTCTATAATAGTGACGAAATCCTGGATAATAGGAACGATTTCCAAACAAATAAGAAGCAAAAAGTTCAAGCACCTGATGAATCAGATAAGCGAGTCACATGATAAAATTTTCCCTCATTTTCCGTGTCAGCAAAAACGCCATTAGCTAACTTAGAATTTGATTGGTTCTTCATTTCGCTAAAGGTACATATTAATATATTATGTCGTATGTAAATCCCATCACTATGTAAATCCCGTTTGGGGTCCCTAAAAACCGCATTTACATATTAATATTAATATGTAAATCCGGGATTTACATACAACCTACCTGATCAACTACTCCTAATCGGAGGAACGAACAGTGTTCAATTAGTTTTATTAGAGACAAATGACGTTACCCGACTAGTCGATGATTATACAATCTCACTGGATTATTGCAGGCTAATTAGGTAACATAAAAATACAGCCCTGACTATTACTATAAAGCATTCACATTGAAAATGCTACTACTATAACACAATCAACATCTACTATGCGACTGCATTTGCATTACTGTAAATCGCTAAAATTTTTCGACATGACCCCACGCACATTCTCTTCTCTAACTCCTCGGTTGTACATTGGCCTCAAGATTACTTTTTAATAAATAATGTATCATATTTTCTTACATAGTCAAATGAACTACCCGGCAAAAGCAACTAACAGTAAACGTGCACGATTTTATTTCGGCATCTTGTTAACTCAACCATATTGACATACTAATACGTGGAAGCACATCATATAATTCGAACATTTGAATATAACTGTAAATAGCCCGGTTGAATTACAAATTTATTCAAAAAAAAGAGTTTGAGTATCTAAATTATAAAAAATGCAGTGTTAATATTGTAAATCGACTTTATTTGTACCAACGTGTAAATCATACCTGCTGCTGAATCCATATTTCTTGGTTTAATATTAGGCAGATTTCCGGTAGGAAGAGTGTGCTAGAATATTTACTCTTCTTCTCGAAACGTGATAGGGGTTTTACATCATTATGATAGATAGTATTCCATGCGTTGCTGTCAGTAGTACCCTTGTCAGCCTTTTCAACTAGCTTGTTGACATCACTCCAAAGTGTCCTTGCAACTGGACGCTTATCAGGATCAGCATCACAACACCGCTTGACAAGTTCCTTGTATTCCTCTGGTGCGGAATCAGGCATCGATGGTCGTAGTCCGCCCATAATGTCGCATACTAAATCTCTATCGAACTGCCTATCTCTAAAAGGTGGTTCACCAGTAGCAATCAGATACATAATGATACCAAAAGAATATACATCTGATTTCTGAGTAAATTTGCATGTATGGAAGACTTCCGGTGCAATAAAGGGTAAAACGCCATGAATGGTTGAATTTGATTTACATGAGTTCACTGATTGAGAAAGACCAAGATCGCATATCAGTGGGTGACTTGATTGGAACTCTTTTTCTGTCTCAAGCCCGGTGTCATCATCATCATCACCATCATGCAAAACTATGTTTCCGCCATGAAGATCACAATGCACTAATCCCACATTATGAATATCATCCAGATAATCTGCAATACTCCTCAAATGATATAATTCCTTAATCGAAGAAGTATTATTAAAAAGAGTGATACTACTTCGATTTGTCGATTGGAAACAATTCAGAGTTTTACTCAGCACGCTCTTTGAATGAGTATATTTTTAATGTACGTGTAGACGATGTATTATTTAAGATGATTATATATTTATTTATTACTGATAATAAGTATTTTACTCCTGCCTCAAATGTCTGAGGAGGACGGAAAGCCATCTTTATTATTTAATCACATCAACACTATACATATTCAGTAAAACTGGCAAAGATATCCTCTTTGGAAACAAGCTCAACTATGACAAATAAACCTGTGTTGTATGTCAGATCGGAATAGACATATGTCAGGTCAGAATTTATGTCCGTTCGGAATAATACAGAGTATCAGTAACAATAATATAACATACTTATACTTCGATATTAACAATATTACTTTGGCTGCTGTTATATAACTAATTAATATTCACACTGTAAATTGCTCGATGCTTAATTTTAATGAAACAACCAATAGATTATTGTGGAATGAGATCATGTAATCAGATATTCTATGAAGAAATTATTCGCTTGATTCGAACGTTCCCGAATTTGATGTATCCCACACCTCTGTTTGTGACAACATATACACGTGTACATGGTTAATACTGATGCAAAATTTAGGAGGTGGCGGAGAGCGGGCGGTGCAGTTGACCAACAGCATTGCATTAAACTTGATGTATAAAAAATTTATACAACTTTGGGGACTCGTATGATGTTATTGACATATACAATTAAAAATGATATTATTTTATTTTTTGTTCTCAAAACTCACATCACAAATTGCAAAAACTCTCTATGACCCGGATTAAACTAATTTACGAAACACCTACTAGTTCTATTGCCATCACCCTTGATATCAACAAATCAGTAGAGACTACTATTGAAGCTCTTCGCTCTGCATTAGATAGTATTGAAAATGATAATGCTTGCTGGGTGCGGGTATCTGAAGAAGAAGATGAACCCCTGACAACCGTCTGTTACGATTCCTTTTGTTAACGTATTACGTGGGTCGTGATATCATTATCATTTTCCGGCCTCACGCAAATTTCGCTAGAAGAGCTGCGGCGGTTTTGTGCATCAGAAATGATGTCCATACCATTGCTGTCCACTGGCCTTCTCTTCACATCAAAACTCTGCGATGGTGTAGGCTTGTTCACAGCAGAAACGACAGGAGGACAGTTCAGCTCACTCGTCCAACCTGGGCTTGTTTATATCTTACGCGGACATGAAGGTGCCTAAAATATTTAAAAATCTTGTACAAATTCCAAGAAAATATTATACTCTGGTCCATTTAGTAAAATCTTCGGCAACCTCTTCCGTGAAGCTTCGTCTATATTCTTATGTGATGGGTCGTATGTAATAACACATACATTTTGTAACTGTCAACCGTATAATAATAACTGATGGTTAATTTCGATAGTAAATTCTAGATTATGCTGTATGGATACGAACCTTGATATCAAACAATGATTTATACACTTAAAGTCGCTACTACTACTGCTTTCATATATGTTGACGCTGTTTATAATCGCTACTCGCGTTTGTAACATAATAATTTAGCTCTACTTATCTTCGGATTATTATCACGGTTATTTAGTATTTATATAAGCATGATTTATGATCAATAATAAACATGTATTTCTGGACGACTCTCTTGAAAAAATCCGAACGTTCAAGGTTATGCAGATCACGGTAAAAGCGGCGGATAAATACTCGATTATCGAAAACGGTAATAATAATAATAATAATTGTGGGGGCTGAAGCTGAAACAGGCTGACCTTGAGAAATATTTATGCCGGATTGGATGTTCGAAGAAAAATTGCACACTTTGTTTTCGAGTCACGCAACATTAACAATAAATCACGTTTCGACCATTAACAAGCGTATTTATTGATCAAATCAAACGAGCCATTGGCTTTCTATTTTAATATGAAATTTTAAATTTTTTTGGAGGTTAGGATTTAGGGTAACGTTTGTTAATAGAAGAGTATGATAATAGTAATAGTAAAAAAGATACTAAATTATACTCATTAATGGCTTTGGATCGAGTATTTTCCTCCCATGCAATCACTCTGGCTATTTATATTTCAAAAGCGATCGCATTCTATAATAATATATGTACAGTATTTAGCTCATGCAGTCAAACGTTATCCCCTACCAGATTTGGTAACCTTTCAAGTTACTAAATTTGGTAGGGAAGATAGCTTAGCACTCAGGAGGTAAATTACCTCCCCAATCTATTGCCAAATTTGGCAAAATACCTGGTAGTCCTGGAAAAGAAGTTACACGTCACACGCAGATCGATAACATGTTGAGAATGTTGTACTTGAAAATTTCTTATTCAAACGATGTCATTAGTTCCAGAGGTTAACAATCCAGCAATTGACAACTTGGTTCAATCCTCCTTGGAAAATGAAGATAAATACCTAAGACTTGAATGGATTCCTTACGAAGAAATCACCAACATAAAGCCAACTCAAATTTCCATTGTCCACTACGCTCATCGTTACAATAATAAGATAATGCTGGTATTCCTTGGAAACAACAAAGAATGTACACAAACACTTGTTAGTGAGTTTGCTAGAATATACTCACTTCCGACCACAAGTACAACAATGACGTTAATCAGTTTAGACGATATGCAAAATGGCTTAATCGTCGCAACGAACTTATAAAGGGGTTTGGCAAATGTGGCGATAACAACTATTACATGGTTACTCACCCACGCTTCTACTATTGTTATTCTCGATATGGATTCTGCTCCGCATGTGGAATACTCCGATGTA